CCCCTCACTACAAGAAAGATGTTGCGTTGCTGGAACATGTCCAGAGGAGAGCAACCAAGCTGGTGAGGGGTCTAGAGCACAAGTCATACGAGGAGAGGCTGAGGGAACTGGGGTTATTTAGTCTGGAGAAGAGGAGGCTGAGGGGAGATCTGATCACCCTCTACAACTGCCTGACAGGAGGCTGTAGGGAGGTGGGGGTCGGCCTCTTCTCCCTGGTAACAGATGATAGGATGAGGGGGAATGGTTTGAAGCTGCGCCAGGGCAGGTTTAGGCTAGACATTAGGAAAAACTTCTTCACCGAAAGGGTTGTCAGGCTTTGGAATGGGCTGCCTGGGGAGGTGCTGGAGTCCTCATACCTGGAGGTATTTAAAAGAAGGATAGATGAGGTGCTTAGGGACATGGTTTAGTGGTGGGATGGCAGGGTTAGGTTAAAGGTTGGACTCGATGATCTTAAAGGTCATTTCCAACCAAAGTGATTCTATGATTCTATGATTCTAATCAGTAGGAAAAAATGGCTATTTGTGGCTCATTTCTGTAAGGAAAAACATAAACCAAGCAGTTCTTTCCTAAATTTTCCTCTGATAACTGAAGTGTGCTTCGCCCTGGGTGTTTCTTCATGCCCCCTGGGCTGCCTCACCAACCTTCTCTGCGTCTGCAGGGTGAGGAGGAGCAGCACAGGCCACCCTCCCAGGCTGCAGCCTGCAAAGGGGTGACAGGACCCCCTCAGTGAGCTGTAGGGCTGAGAAGGAAATGGCCGTCTGGCAGGACAACCTTGTGCAATGCAGCATCAGAAAGATGCAGAGACCTTTCCATCTTGGGAGGATGATAAAGGACCCAACACTGTACGGAGCATACACTGTATTGGTGGGGTGGAAAGGGAATTACTGCAGCCAGTCATAGAATCACAGGATGCTTTGGGTTGGAAGGGACCTCCAAAGGTCACCTAGCCCAACCCCCCTGCAGTGAGCAGGGACATCTTCAACTGGATCAGGTTGCTCAGAGCCTCATCCAACCCAACCTTGAATGTTTCCAGGGATAGGGTCTCTGGGCAACCTGTTCCAGTGTTTCACCACCCTTGGTAAAAAGTTTCTTCCTTATATCAAGTCTAAATCTACCCTCCTCTGGTTTTAAACCATTACCCCTTGTCCTGTCACAGTTGGCCCTGCTAAAAAGATTGTCGCCATCTTTCCTATAGGTCCCCTTGAAGTACTGGAAGGCCTCAATCAGGTCTCCCTGCAGCCTTCTCTTCTCCAGGCTGAACAACCCCAACTCTCTCAGCCTGTCCTCTCAGCCCAGTCCTGGTGGCCACCTTTGCCGAGGGCACTGAAAACTTGAAAAAGGGGGCAAGAGCAAGCTAAAAATACTGAGGAGTTGGACACCAGGTCTTACAATGAGAAACTTCAGAATCTCAAGATTGAGAAGTGACTTGCTTACACCATGGGAGAAGTTCATAGCTGCTACTGAGTAACTGCAAAGCCAGCTTCTGAGGGCTTTTGTCATCTGGCAGAGGAAAAAAAAAAGAACTGATAATGCCAGGCAATCTCATGTTAGTAACAAGGCATGACGTTTAATTGTAAGGAAATTATCCACTGCAGCAAAATACAAAGAAAGCTGCTGGAGTATGTCTCCTCAAATAAAGACTAGATCCCTTCCTGGAAGTTAGACTTTGAGCAGTTTATTTGTGGTATAAGATAATATAAGAGGAGATTAGGCCAGATGATCCAATGGTGCCTTCTAGTCTTGAAATTTGGGAATGAAGTCATATCTGTCAATAAAGTCTTGCTGCTCAGGAGCGTAATATGGTGTTAGGAGCCTAATTTAGGAACAAAGTGTGAAGAACGTGTTAAAGGATGAGCAATAAGGATAAGAGCAGTCATAGCCAGCCCTATGATCACTGCGGGACTCAATATATTCTGCAAGTCTGAAGTCACGGGTAGACGGGAGGTGTTGAAATATGTTTCTTTTCTGCAGGCTTAGACAGATTCTGTAGAAATAGTTACAAAGTGAGAAGGCTGCATCCCAAGGGGGTTTCATTTTTATTACTTGGTGGGTTGCTTTGTAAGAAGATGGTTTGCTCCGGGGGTCTGGAGCATCCCCAGTCCCCATCCCTGCTGCCTGCTCTCACAGGAGGGCTCCCTTGCGGCCTCCTAGTTGAGGTATGGCTCATTTCTAAATGTCCTTGACCAACGTCAGCAGAATCAGGCTACCTGTGCATAGGCAGCCTTTCAATACATAAAAGGGACTTCTAACAAAGATGGAGAGGAACTTTTTACCAAGGCCTGTAGTGACAGGACAAGGGGTTTTAAACTGCAAGAGGGTAGATTTAGATTGGACATAAGGAAGAAAAGGTTTATGATGATGGTGGTGGGACACTGGAACAGGTTGCCCAGAGAAGTCATGGATGCCCCCTCCCTGGAAGGGTTCAAGTTCAGGTTGGACAGGGCTCTGAGCAACCTGGTCTAGAGAAAGATGTCCCTGCCCATGGCAAGGGGGTTGGACCAGGTGATCTTTAGAGGTCCCTTCCAACCCAAACTATTCCATGGTTGTGTGGTTCTATACTAACCCAGCTACACACCAAGCCCATAAAGCTTGAAATTTGTGATCAGCTGTTTTTTACGTGCTAGTTGGATGCTGAAAACATGCCAGAAGCAGCCCATTTCTTGCTCCAAAGTTAAATTACCTAGCTGCTTACAGCCAAGCCAAACTGATCCTCAACTGCTTGCTGCAACATTTGCCTGAAGGAGCTGTTTCAGGTGGCTGGTGATTTTGGGGAGACGCTTGCAGTGAGCTGGCTTAAGGGGCTATGCTCGCTCAACAGGAGGCTGAGGTGCTGCTCTCAGCCTTTTCAATGCATGGGCAGGGATGGTTTTGCTCCTTGCCGGAGCGTGTCTCCAGCGGGAGGAGAGGACCAGGACTCAGGGCCGGGGATCCCCCCCAAGCCGTGTTGCTCACAGCCGCTGACTCGCTGCTTGTAACCTGTTCCCTCTGATTTCAACACCTTCATACGATGAATGCAAATTGTGAAAGAGGGGCTGGCTGTTTGCAGGCTGAAAATAAAGGACTGGCTTTGTTTTCTTTAGGTGTGAGTGTTTCCAGGGCAATATCCCCATTGCAGCAGCAGGTGGGAGCCCTCAGCACCAGGGACCCCTCAGCTGCCAGAGGCATGTTGCCCCAGCAGCGTGGGGGTCCCGGGGGGGCTGGGGTCCTCCTTTGTGGCCACAGACAACTGCATTTCTCAGCCAAGCTAATGGCAGGGGATGACAACCCGCTTCTGAAGGGTTTCAAGCAGGCAGCACACCGGCATGGCACCGGCCCGTGGGCTGCCCACCCTCTCTGCTGACAGGTTAGTTAACGTCAGGGGTTCGTTTCTGCGCCAGCAAGACCTCAAGCATTAGGTCCCCCACCAGGAAAATCTGCCAGGGGGGAGTGCACCACAAAAAGTGGTGGCAACCTTCCTCCCCCCAGCCCCGGGGACTCGTGAAGCCTGGTGAAACCTAGCTCATGAAGGTGGTGCTTGCCAGACAGACGGCTTGCCCAGGTGGCTTGCAAATGCAGGCATCATGTATATTGTCTTGCTATGTGCCTTTCCACAGTGACAGCTGGCGCTGCTTCCCGCAGGAGTGCGTGCCCAAGTGCTGAGGCCAGGGCAGCGAATGCAATCCCCCTGCAAGGCTGTGCCTTGGTGCCACCCCAATCCCACTGATCATGTTGGTCCTTGGGCTGAGGGAGAGTGAGAGCTGCAGTTCTGTGACGTCCCACTTTGGACCTTAAATTTTTTGTTAATATTACCTTGAAGAAATTATATCAACATTTGTCTCCCTCTTCCAACATGAGAAATCATAGAATCACTTTAAGATCATTGAGTCCAACCTTTAACCTAACCCTGCCATCCCACCACTAAACCATGTCCCTAAGCACCTCATCTATCCTTCTTTTAAATACCTCCAGGGATGAGGACTCTACCACCTCCCTGGGCAGCCCATTCCAGAGCCTGACAACCCTTTTGGTGAAGAAGTTTTTCCTAATGTCTAGCCTAAACCTGCCCTGGCGCAGATAGAATCATAGAATCACTTTGGTTGGAAAAGACCTTTTAGATCATCGAGTCCAACCTTTAAATGTTTTCTTATTAATTTGGAGCTATTGATTCTCTCCTGGCCTAGAGCAGGAAATGCTTCAGTCATTCCCTCCTCTGCTGATAAGCCCTCTGCTGTGGTCCCAACATTTCCTGGGAAAAAGCTCTCTGTTCTTCAGCTGCAGCTTTTCCCAGCCAGGCAGCCTCTGCAAGAACCAAACCAAGGGAACAAATGGCACAGCGCATTTTTTTTGGGAGGAGGGTCCTCCGCTTGAGATGTTTATTGTCGATAGAAATATCCTATAGCTCAAACAGAAGTCATAGAATCATAGAATTGTTTAGGTTGGAAAAGACCCTTAAGATCGTCAAGTCCAACCATTAACCTAACCCTGCCATCCCACCACTAAACCATGTCCCTAAGAACCTCATCTACCCGGCTTTTAAATACCTGAGGGATGGAGACTCAACCACTTCCCCTGTGGAAAAAATTTTTCCTAATGTCCAACCTAAACCTCGCCTGGTGCAACTTGAGGCCATTTCCTCTTGTCCTAGAGATGAGTGTCCTTATTACAGAAATGTAACTGATCATAAATGGTGCCTTTTAGCCTTTAAAATCCATTAAATTCTCTGCAACACCAATACCCACCCTGAACCACGCCGCCTCCAGCCGTGTTTTTGGTACCCAGGAGAAGACCACAACCAAGCATGCCCCAAACCATCTCTGTTTTTTCCTGTTGACAGCCCCACTTCTGCCCACCAAACCCCTTTGAAATGAGGCTTACACACACCTGCTTGGACTGCTGTCTTTTATTTCAGAAGAGGCCCACGGAGCTGCTGGTGCACAGTAAGCGGGGCAGGGCTAGAACTGCTGGGATGGAGGGATGCGGCAGAGGAACAACTGTGCCTGGGTGCTGCTCCCTGCTGCGGCTCAGCGGCTCAGGGCACAAGGGTAGCACTTGCCTGCCGTTTCGATCTTCATGACATTATTTGGTCCCAGTGAGCAGGTCACCTCATCCTCGCTCACCCCCGGCGGCAGGCTGATTTCCTTCTTGATGTTTTTGTAGTTATACTCCTTCCCTCTTGCAGTGGTGTGCTCCTCCTCATGCTCTGCTAACACCTTCACCTTCCCGTCTTTCACCGTCACGGTGACTTCATTGGGGTCAAAACCCTCTACATCCATCAAAGCCAAAAGCTTGTGATCATGGGAAGAGTCCAACATCCTATTAAGACTTCTTCGCATGCTGGAATAAAAACAAGAGGGCAGCCTTTCAGTCCAACTCATAGAGGAATGGGTAGACCACCTTGAGGACAAACGAAGTAAATAGGAAATTGTTGGATCCACCTTTGTGCTGATGTACAGCACGTGGGGTGGTGTCTGCACCATCAGAAGGAGCTCCCACCTGCGCTCCCCAGCAGTCAGGAGTATTTTAGCATGCCCTTTTGGGATGGGGCAAATGTGGAGCTGAAAAGTTCTTTCACCTAAATATAGAGAAGCCAGAGCTCGTCTTTCACATGTACATATGCCCTCTAAGCCATGCGTGCCCATCTTACGCATTGTCCTACATTTTAAGTGGGTAGTTACAATAGATCACATTTTCCAGTTCGGAGTTTTGTTTAAAGCAATCAGTGTATAAGAGACACATCTGGCAAAAAAACCCAAAATGCTCCTGCAGAGCTGGGCTGGAGGCTCACTGAGCCATTAAAATGATTTCTAATACTGTCACACAGTGACTCTGCTCAACCAGAAGGCTGGCTCTCATTCAAGCCATTTGTAAAATACACAATGGAAGGGTCACCTCAATTCTAAGAGCTAAATTGGACACAAGGCACCAAAGTAAAAAGATAATGTGTGTGATGGAAGAGGAAATAGGGCAAGCAATGAGGGAATGGGCATGATCGCTAAGGTGAGAAATCCCTAATGAGTGGTTCGTTAGCAAGGTACACCCACTTCAGCAATCCTATTTAAAGCCTGAAATGATTCAACCTCATGTGGTGATTTTGAGATGCATTTTTTGTGCTCTGTGAGAAGTGGCTCCTCCACCTGCCCCTTTGGTCTTCTTATATGGCTGGTTGGAGGAGCATAAAAGTGTTGGGAAGAGTTGGTCATTCAGGGCATTTTGGACACATATTTTGTAGGAAGGAGATGGTTGAATCCATCTCTTCAAGGAGTTAGTTAGAAGGACCCCCTGGGAAACAGTCCTCAGGGACAGGGGAAGAGAACAGAGCTGGCAGATCTTTAAGGATGCGTTCCATAGAAGGCAAGAGCTCTCAGTCCCCAGGTGTAAGAAATCAGGCAAAGAAGGGAAGAGACCAGCATGGCTGAGTCAAGACCAGCTGGTCAAACTAAAGAGCAAGAGGGAACTGCAGAGGCAGTGGAAGCAGGGGCAGGTATCCTGGGAAGAGTATAGGGACGCTGCCTGGTTGCATAGAGATGGGCTCTGGAGGGCCAAGGCATGGCTGGAGCTGGATTTGGCAAGGGATGCAAAGAATAACAAGAAGGCCTACAGATATGTCAACCAGAAAAGGAAGGTTAAAGAAAGCGTACCCCCCTGATGAACGAGAAGTGTGACCTAGTATCAACAGATGAGGAGAAGGCTGAGGTACTCAACAACTTTTTTGCCTCAGTCTTCACTGGTAACCTCTCTCCTCACCCCTCCTGAGTCAATGGACGGCATGAGGGGGACCGGGGGGTAAAGCCCCTCCCACTGTCAGGGAAGATCAGGTTTGCAACCACCTGAGGAACCTGAAAATACGTAAGCCTAGAGTCCTGAGGGAATTGGCTGATGTAGTTGCCAAGACACTCTCCCTAATATTTGAAAAGTCATGGCAGTCAGGTGAAGTCCCTGGGGATTGGAAGAAGGGATACATTGCGCCCATCATTAAAAAGTGTTGAAAGGAGGACCCTGGGAACTACTAACCTGTCAGCCTCACCTCTGTGCCCGGGAAGATCATGGAACAGATCCTCCTAGAAGCTATGCTAAGGCACATGGAGGCCAGAGAGGTGATTTGAGATAGCCAGCATGACTTCACCAAGGGCAAGTCCTGCCTGACAAACCTAGTGGTTTTCTATGATGGAATGACTGCATCAGTGGACAAGGGAAGAGCTATGGATGTCATCTATCTGGACTTCCGTAAAGCCTTCGACATGGTCCCCTACAACATCCTTCTCTCTAAATTGGGGAGATATGGATTTGATGGGTGGACTGTTTGGTGGATAAGGAATTGGTTGGATGGTCACATCCAGAGGGTAGTAGTCAAAGGCTTAATGTCCAAATGGAGACCTGTGACAAGTGGTGTCCCTCAGGGGTCGGTACTGGGACCAGTGCTGTTTAACATATTCATCAATGACATAGACATAGGGTGGTGAAACACTGGAACAGGTTGCCCAGAGAGGTAGTGGAGGCTCCATCCCTGGAAACATTCAAGGACAGGTTGGACGGGGCTCTGAGCAACTTGATCTAGTTAGCGGTGTCCCTGCTCACTGCAGGGGGGTTGGACTAGATGACCTCTAGGGGTC